AACTTGTTCAGTTACATGTTGCAGTGTTTCACATATATGCCCCCCGACGGGGGTGGATGTCAGTAATCAGTAACCCTGGCCCCCCGGAGTGATGTAGTCAACCAATTCATAAAATTGTAATAATTTCAACTGATGAAATTATACATTTGTTGCACCTTCTATTTATAAACAGCTTATTTTTGTAAAATGAAAATAGGATTTGTTTTTCTCATACGCTTTTCCCCAAACTTCAGAACAATAAATGAAATGATCTGACACATTCTGCTCTTGTTCAGTAAATCAGTCACAAACAAGATCAAAACTACTTTTTGGCTGAATGTTAGATTGTAAGACTTGGTTAGACGGGCAGTTTTCTGCAGTGTAACACAAGCTCTACACGCAGCATCAACCTTTTTTGTCTGTTAGCAAAATATCTCATTAAACACTGGACCTATTTCAATAAAACTCCCAAAGAAATCTTTAACAAAAACATCCTTAACTGATATGAATTTTTGAGCTTTTGCCTTGATATTTGCCTTGATATTTTCTATAGAAATCCTTTCCATTCATCTTTAATTTACTGATTCAAACACAAATATCTGTTAAATAAATGTGTCCAGAAGCACCCATTCACTAGAAAGCTGTTCTGTGTGTCAAGTGGTTTATTGAATGATATAAAAGTCACCAGCAGTGACTTAATTGCTCATAGTTCACCTTTTTTTTTCTTTTCCCTTTCATAGCTTCTCTTTCAGTCTGTTTGTATGAAGCTCATTCTGTTCTGGTGTGAGGCCACAGCGCCACAATGAAAGAGCCAACGTGTCGAGATAAAAGTAACTCAAGTCGCAGACGGATGATTCACGAATGAAAATTTAGCTTCACAAAGAGAGACGGCAACTGATCCACATCTGAAAAGCACAGATGGAAAGGATTAAAAAAAGGAAAGAAAAACAGAGCGAGCAAAAGGCTAGGAGAACGGATCGAGTGGGAAGTGAGCATGACACGGCCGAGTCGAGAAATTAGCACGGGGAAGAGCATATGAGAGTGAGTCAGACTCACACTGACGCCCAGTGTGCCGCCCGTGATGAGCTGGGAAGGATCCAGCTGACAGTGCATTAAGATCTCAGGGCTGCACATCCACAAAGGAAGTGAGACGTGTTCAAGTGCGCACTTTAAATCAAAATCACGCAAGTCACAATCTGACGTGTCCAAACCAACAGACAAACCTCCTAAAATCACAGGCTGAACTTTTACCAACACTCTTAGAGCAAAACTGTGGTTTTAAACCTGTCAGACGCACAAGATCTGACGTAATGAGCTAAACGTTTAAACAAAGACGCTCAGATTGTTTGATGACTCTTTACGGGRACATATCCCAAAATCCAATTTTTTAGCTGTTAAATTAATTTTGTCGTGGACTTGGAGTCTCTAGGAGTGAAGAAAAGTTGAATTTAGTCTCTGATATCTTTTTATCAGATTTTTCAGCCTGTTCTGTTTTCTGTATTTTCGATTACATTTTATAAACTATTACATCAAATAAAAGTGCCAAATAAGGTTTGGATTTACTGCCTACAGTTTCTTTATCTTCATTTTCCTCTGGTTCTGGGTCAGACTCCAGCTCCTGTTGTTGACTCTTTCAACTTAATTGTAAATAAAACGTTTCTGCGTCTCTACAAACCGTAACCCCCCTCTCTTTCAAACCGGAGTGGATCGGTCTGGAAGCTGGAGGGGGCGGGGCTTGAAGCGCCTTAAAGCAATAGTAACAAATCTGCTTTCAAAGGTGCTTTGAGACCAGGGATGGTTCTAGGGGCGGGGCCACAGGGGCATTGGCCCCAACTGAAATCTGATTGGCCCCCTGAAGTGCCTCTGTCCTGTCACTCATCTGTCCTTTGCCCAAGAGTAATGATGGCGGGCGCAGTTCCATGTTCAAACACTGGAGGCACTGATGAGTCAGATGCTGTGTGTTTGAGTGTATTTGATTTATGTACAGTAAAAATGCATGTAAAACTTGTAAGGAGAATATACATGCAAGATTTTTTAATTACATTACAAGTGTTTGAACATGTGTGACAAGTTAAATGTTTACATCTCATCAAAATCAGAGATTTGTGTGCAAAGATGTTAAATAAATATTTGACCCCTTTAAGAATATTGTGGCCCCTTGATGGCCCCTTATTCAGAAAAACCCTAGATCCGCCACTGTTTGAGACASCAGAAAATTGGTGAAAGAGGGTCTGGTAAAGTTTAAATAAAAAAGTGAAAAAGAAGGATTTAAAAGCATATGTCTGGTTTAACTACCACAGGAAATTTTAGCTCAATATCTCTAAAGCTAAATGTGAAAAACCATYTTGAATCAAGTTGACTCCCAAAGTTAATCAGTTGTTGAGACATCCTGAGAGTTTCATTAAAATCTGTCCACTGGTTTATAAGATGCTTGAGCAAAAACATAACCACCTCCAGCCTTCGGCGGTGGGCAATAAATATGCATTTTATGCTTCCTCTGTATGATAAAAATATTTTTCTGTGGTCACAAGCTACCCCTGACGCTCAAATAAAAGGAGCTTCCCTTCCTCGGCTCCTGTCACACAACACAGCACTCATAAACGTAAAACGCTCTGAGACATCTCAAACCATCGTCTCGTATCACCCTGGTAGCTCCTAATTGCGATCGGACGAATGGTAAACTCAGGAAATAAAAAAAAAAAACATTCAGTGTTTTGATGATGCTATGGAGAAAAGCTTATTTAATTTGAGGAGCTGCTAAGTGACACAATCCTGAAAGATGGGTTTGATATCCTTCAAATGCTCAGTTGTGATTCACATCGATGTTATCTGGGAAATAACTGCTCTCGTCAGGAGAAGTGAATATTTTTCATGGGATTAAGGTGATAATCTGCACTGCAGGGTGTGTAAAGGGATTGTTTCAACCTCTGTGGTCTCCACATACTGTACACCACACAAATACAAGGGTTGTTTTCCAAACACTCCCTAAAGCATGAGTTCAGAACGTTTGAAGTAAGGTTTTGGGTAAAGAATATGAACAGTAACTATCTTACCTGTTGTGGGTAGTTTTTTTTTAAACAACCTCACTATACTTAATTTCACTTTTCACAGTTTCTTTGAAATAAATTAAAATACTTTTGTCCAAAATACCCCTATATTTGAACAGGAAGTGTTACAGCTAGTTGATGCTGCTGCTATTTGTGCAAATTTCTATAGGATTCGACGCAAACCATCAAATATCAATAAGGTGACAATACAGTATATAGGTCTCATTCACACTAATTACTGAAATATTTAGAGATTTAATGGTAACAAAACACTTTGGCCTTATACGACTAGCTATTAGCTCGTCAGTCTGAGCAGATCCACGGCAGGTAGGATGCTAACTGTTCAAACCTCTGATAGAAACAAATCAAACTGAATGATTGAATTTTAAATTAGTTGCTTTTGTTAAAATGGCACATTAATTCATTTAACAGTTGTTTTATAATGCTGATTTTTCTTTTTTTTTAAAGAAAATGTGCAAACATTCTACAATGAAATCCATTCAGATTAATATTGTTAGCTTTAAAATTTAGGTCATATTTAACAGCTGTTAATACAGTTTTTCTTTATTTTTCTGTTTTAAATGGTTAAGAAAGTAGTTGTTTTTTATTCTTTATATTGGTGCTTTCATTTGCATAACAACTAGTCCATCCATTTTTATGTTTTTCTTTTCTTTCCTTTTCTTTTCTTGTTTTTTTTYTCTCTCTTGTTCAAACAGATAAAAAGATCTCAGTTGAACATACAAGCCATCGTAAGTTCACCCTCCCATGACTTCCTTTGACTCACATTTTCAGACTGTTTGTCTTTGTGTGTGTGTGTGTGTGTGTGTGTGTGTGTGTGTGTGTGTGCATGCAGAGTCCTAACATCTGTGTGTGTGGTGTTTTGTGCCATTGAAGACAGGTCTCACCTCCTCATCCACCGTCCAGCGTGTTTATAAATGTCTCCTGTTTTGATAAAAYGATAGCTAAAAGAAAAAYAGCTGATTTTTCAGTATTTCTGGGACTTRGTTTACATTTGGAGGGAAGCTAATTCCTCCGTCTTAATGTGATGTGGACTCGGGGTGAGAGTAGCCACAGTAATGCACCTAATTTGCCGTTGTTCCGTTTCTGGTAATAAGTGCGGACGGCTGTCGGATTCGGTTCCATCTCGCCACGTGAGCACCGGAGCTCCCTTCTGCCAGCTCGCCAGCCTCCGGCTCTCTTCTCCTCCACACGTTCTGTTGCTCTGCGGTGTCTTTCACCGCTCTTATCTCCTCTCTCCTCCTCGACGCTCTTATAACCCCTCTGTCCTCTCAACAAATCACAACCTTATCTTCCTCCTTCCTGTCCCTTTTTGCCAAATTGCTTCTCATCGAGCACTCTCGTCCTCAGTACATYCAGCCTGTCTACTCCTTTTTCTTTTTCCCTGCCAACTTTGTGCTCTGTCTTCTTGCTTCATTTCTGTTCTGTTGTGACCGGCTCACGTGTCGGGGTTGGGTCAGTTCTGGGCTAAGCCGGCAGTGAAGACGGGTCAGAGCCAGTCCCCCCACCCAGCCGGAGAGAAGGAGGCTGCTCAACAGGGAGCAGGTGAACGCAGGGCCAAGTTACCCCTCCTTACCATCCTGCCACCTTGCTTTATTTTTAGTACACGAGTCCCTGCTTACCAGAAGGAGCTCTCAATCAATGAGACACTAATTATCTCCTAAATAAAAGACGGAGAACAAAAACATGTGCCAGAGCAGAGGTCTTCGGTTAAAATCCAGTGATGTTTGATGAATTACTAGAATATACAGTATACTAAATTTAAATTGTCTTTTAGTGACAGCTGTGCCTGTTTTCTTTGTCTTTTCAGGCCTATAAGTTTTTAGGTGGGCAGGTAGGATGTTTTTCTCTCCACTTAAAGGAGAGAATTTTGGGGCCAACAAATTACCATAAAAAAACTGTCACATAAAGCGAATTACTATAAATTATAGAAAAGCTGTGTCTTGTGAAGTTAATTACCGTAAGTGCTAGAAAAGCTGTAAAATGACTTTTTGTGAATGGGGAAAAAATTGTATTTGTAAAATTCTATTGATTGATTTGATTTGATTTGATTTATTGATTCAACAGGAAAAGATTACTAAAAATCAAGCCTGACTCAGCATAATTGCTGTTTTACAGCAGGTTCCTGTTCTGCAGCACATAAAACACTCAGAAATACAGCACCACAATCACATCATTATACACCATAGACACAAAGACCAACAAGCATACCAAATTTCAAAAAGGCAGCATTTGCAAAATAGGAYGTCTAAATATGAGCACAACAAAAAGTGTCCAGCAGATGGCAGACAAGATTCTTCTTAAAGGGCTGTAGTTTTGAAATGGACTTTATGTTTTGAGGAATGTCATTCCATGCTTTAGTATAAACATAGAAGAAAGACCTCTGGCCGTAACAGTTTTTAAAAGTTGGTAATATCAGTTGTCCTTTTGTAACAGATCTAGTTGAATGACCACTTCCAGAATTTGATTTGGGCAACAATGCACAGAGAGTTCCATAAGTGGCACCTTGGAAGATCTGAAAATATAAATTAATACCACTATACAAAACATAATTCTGAAAAGTCAAGGCATCAGACAGTGAAAGAACTGTACAGTGATGAGTCCAACCAGGAAGTTTTTTATGAATTTTGTAGGCCCTGTTGTAGAGCCTAACTATGGGTTCTAAGATTTCATTTGTTGTAAGAGACCAGACGGGTAAAAAGTACGACATGGTTGAGAGTATAATGGCATGAAGATAGATGCATTATTTGAAACAGAAGATGTCAGATTGGATCTAATTTTTTGAATAAACGTATAATTTCTGTTTCAACTTAGTGGTTAAGACTTGTACATGATCACGATAAGTCAAATGAGAATCCAAAGTAATTCCAAGATATTTGTAGATAGTGACAACATCAAGGAGTTTGTTTAAAAAAGTGAGTTGATTTGTTATATTGAAATGTCTCCTGGGTGAGGAAAAATACATGCACACAGTTTTTTTAACATCAATTGACAAAAGATTGTCTTGAAGCCAACCATGAAATGTTTGAAGATCTGCTTGTAACTGACTATTAATAGATTCAATATTGAAATCAGACAAAAAAGAACAGTATCATCAGCATACATTAAAATATTTGAATACTTCAATATTTTTGGAAGGTCATTTATGTATAATAGGAAAAGCAATGGGCACAGTATGCTGCCCTGCGGAACTCCCACGGAACAGGGCAGAGACCCGGACACAGAGCTTCCATGTTTCACAACCTGACACCTATCAGTCAAATAAGAGGAAAACATTTGTATTGCAGATGATGAAAGTTGAAAAGAAATCAACTTTTGTAAGAGAGTATAATGATCAACTGTGTCAAACGCTTTACGAAAAWCAATATATACAGCACCAGTTACTGGACCTTTGTTCAAAGCAGCACGTATTTGTTCAGTGAATAAAATTAAAGCAGACATGGTTGACCTTGACGTGCGAAAACTGTAGGGGTCACCTCGAGTGAAGATACAAGATTTACTGCCTCGGACAGGCCTGACAAGAGTTGATGCATCTACAGTGGTTACTTTCTGCAAGTTTTAATAAAATTCATTTTAATTTTACTAATAATAAGAATTCAAAACAGGTCAAAACTATTTTTTAGCAGAATGTACTCTGAGATTTATTTATTTATTAGCGGCTTTTTATTCTTATGATAAATACCAAAATTAAAAAGTATTTCAGCAGTGACCTAAACGAAACATGCCATGAAAAATCCTCTATTTTTRTGTCGTTAAATATATTTTGTTTGGGTCATGTTTAGTTTTCTCTATTTTCTTTGATGTTTTCTGAACAATTACGTCACTGTATTTGCGACTTTGCTAAATAAGATCTTCCCTTGTTGACATCTTTGAATTCATTTGTAAAAATAATAATAAAAAAAARTTCCTGCACTGCTCTATAGTCATAAACCCCTCTATCAAACTGGAATGGACCGGTCTGGAAGCTGGAGGGGAACGGAGTGTGAAGCGCCTCGTTTGGATTTAAAGAGACAGCCTCAAAACGAGTTGATCTGAGAAAGAGGGGCTTGTGGAGTTACAACAAGGAGGAACTCAGAACAAAGCATTCCAGTTCTACTTTATATTGACCCCAAGTGAAGGATTTAAACAAATATAACTACCTTAAAACTAGTTTTACAGTGGTATCTTGTCTTATTTTCTGTAAAAAAAAATTGTGCGTTGAGCGTCTGACTCCGCCCCTCTCCTTTCAGCCATGGCTCCAGGTATGGGTGCGGCGGTGTACGTTGGCCTGGTGGTCGCTTTGCTGCTGAGTGTCATAATGGCRCTCTGCGTGGGCGTGCTGGCGTACCGCCGCCGCTGCCGCCACCTCCACGGTGACATCACGGACTCCTCCTCAGCCCTCACCGCAGCGTTCCACCCCGGAAACTACAAACCTCCGAGACAGGGTGAGCTCACACACTTTAAAACACACACACACACGCACAGTTTATTTTTTTGTAAATGTGGATGTTTGTTTTGGGATTACGACTTTTTTTCTTTACTTATTAAAAAAAGCATCACATTTATCATATTGCTTCATTTAATCAAACCATAAATTAAATCCCATGTACCATTGTCTCCATTCAGTCACCTCCCCGCTCCTCTCTGCTTTACATTTTTTACATTTAAAGGCGTTTGTCAGGGTGTCCCTTCTCTTGCTCTTGCTATCAAATATTAATTAGTAGCATTAATCCAGTTCACTGTGAGCACTTTCCACCCTGCCGGTGTCATTTCTCCTGATAAGAAGTCAGCCTCTGCTCTTCTTCCACAGACAACCCCCACCCTCTGCATCCCTCGGCTCCACCTGATCTGACAGCCACGGCGGGTACTTTCAGGGGTCCGCTCTTCTCCCTGCCGCAGGGGGTCAACGACAGCCCCCACAAGATCCCCATGACCACCTCCCCCTTGCTGGACCCGCTCCCCAGCCTCAAAATCAAGGTGTACAACTCCTCCACGCTGTCCTCCCTGGAGCTGCCGGCCGACATGTGCTCGGCCGACGGCGAGATCCTCAGTCTGAAGTCCGTGGGCACCGTGGGGAGAGAGCGGGACTATCACAGCTACACTCTGTCCAGAGAGCCGGGCCTGAGCACCAGCGCCACCTTGGGAAGCCTGGGTGGGCGCCTGACCATCCCCAACACAGGTAAACCTCCAGAGGGGCTTCCAAAGGGGTGTCCTAACAAGAACCAGCATTAATCATTTAGCAATCAAATTGATTTTAAAGGGGCAATATCATGTAAAATCAACTTTTTTGAGATTTATATCATGTTACAATGTTATACTCTCATAAAAAAACATGCCCAA